TTACTAATAGCCAAGTATTAATTGTCACCACCGCATCTCTCGCTCTTTTTTACCAAATGTGAAGCTTATGTATTTCTTATGCACTCGTCGAAACCCAGCTTCTCTTCATATTTCTTGTCTCCTGTACGTCGACAAGCAACTCTGATAGTTCTAATTGATATGAATAGGCTCACTGTAGACGTCTTTCTCTCTCTAGCTCATTTATTACCTTTTAACTGTTTGCATCTCAGGGACCCGAACAAAAATTGTTGGTAAGAGCTATTACTCCTAAAGGAATATCCTATTGGCTGGTACTTTATATATTTAGGGTAATTCCGTTTAATTCCACCTTTTGATAAAAACTTGATGACTAACAAGCTCCTTGGCGCATGTACCTTTAGCTCAAATATTACCATAATCATGTTTTAACAGTTTTCCAGTGTCAATCTTTTGAAATGAATGTGGATAAAAATATGTTTATGCAGTTATTTACTTACTATTTGGTTTTTAGGCCGGCATCATAAAAAATGGAGCATGACGAAAATAATAACCAGAATATTGCACTGATACATAGAAAAGAGCAGTATTCAACAAAGTAGCTTGGATAAAAGTAGTATTTACTTCCGTTGAAGCAAGCGACACGGTGGTGAGAAGTTGAGATTCCATTTGAGAATCTGAGTATTTCAGGGGTGAATGCTGGCTGAGATTGTAAACGTCTATAGCAAGAAGACAGGCGAATCATAGATTCGCGATATTAGGCTTTCATCGAAGTTAACTCTTGAATAAATGACGTGTTATAATTCATGCGAATTAATGGGGCTTAATTACCAGACAAGCTTATGGTAATCTCAAATGAATGTCAAATTAGAGAGCCAAAGCATGCCTGCGATTATTAACTACGTATAATTGTGGAGTGTAATTTAAAGGGTTGCATTCTAGACAGTGGATCTCTTGGGCTTGGTAATGTCTTCATTGTATATTGCGAGCCCTGAAAAGAAGCACCTTAATATAGGCTAAACGTAAGAACACTAGAAGTTAGAGGCTTTATCCATATCAAACTCATACAATGAGCCTATTCTACTTAAATTCTAAACCATGACTTTGTAGCGAAGCATCTTTTGGCTACCAAGAAAAGTAAGAAGCAATATATTCTTCAAAATCCAGACTAATTTACCTAACACCAAGGAATCATAAGATTTCCACCATACTGTTTAATTGTTATTTCCAAATTTAGTTTCTGATAAAATTGTAAAATATGATTTTGGCCAACAGAAATTTTTAACTTAAAATTTAAGTAACTGAGATAAGCGTGTTTCATAGGCAATGTGTGGTCTACTACCATTCTCGCAACCGAGAGTAGAGTATTATTTATGGACCTGCTTGACTTGGATAAAAATTGCGAATATCATCTAAGAAGCCTACGGAATGGTTTTTTAAATAAATAACCAATAGGGGTTAATTACATCTAAAAGATACTTAATATTTTATACTTATAAACGTAGTATTTAATGAAGTTGTAGACTTAAGAAATTTTTATAAATTAAACAATCATGCGATAACCACAAGGATATAAAGTAATACCATATACTCTAAAAGAAGGCTGATAATAACGAGGACAAAATTTAAAATCACAATTTGATTAATTCCTTCTAAGGGTCTCCAAAGATAAAAGGAGTGTGCTTTGGGATAAATCATTAAAGATTCAGCAAAAGTTAAACGAAAGGTTTTAAAGAGAAGAAAATACAATTCGGCAATAAAAAATGCAATGTTAAATTGTAGGTCCAGGGGAAAATTTGAAGAAAGTTAAGGCATGCGCACTAAAAACAGTGTTCGTTGTGGTTCAGTAAAATAAAAACTAATGTGAATTCAATAGGCACGATTTCATTTTTTGGTATTATTAGTTTGGTTATTAAAAACGTATTTCCTTGTTCTTGACACATATACAGAATGAAAATGTTATGGGTGCTTAAATGACAATTGATTTCGAACAACCCAATACTATTTGCTCAAAATCAGAGCTAATTCTTGCTTGTCATCAGAGACAAGTAATCAAAGGGTTTTTAAGGTGAAAGTTGATATGTTTAAAGTTCTTATAAAAATTCGAATTTTTCGAGTCTAGACTGAAAACTGAAGATCACTAGTTACCTCAAATTTTTTCATCCTCTCTTTACAATCATTAGAGGGTGGGGGCAATTCAAGGTTGCTTTTACGCAACAGATTTTCCAACTGTTCCACACGCAGCTGTGAATCACTCAGCTGATGTTTCAATCTATCGAGCTTTTCCTCAAATCCAGTTGATATTGAAAGAATAATTGCTGAATAAATTTTAAATATTTAAAGTAAATAAATAGGGTTCACAAGACATTCCTTTACAAGAAAGTCTTATAAGTAATTTGATTAGTAGTAATATTAATAGAAGTATAGTAATATTGATAGTAACAAGAGTAGTAGTAGCAGTAGCATAAGAAGTTGTAGTTTAATTAATAGCATGAGCAAATATTGACGATTATAGATATCTAACGAGATAAAGCAAGCTAATTTAATAGGGAAAATTGCTAGCCTCCGAAAAGGTTTGGAGAACTGCCGACACCAAGACTTTGTAATTTGGCTTAACTTAAGAAGCGAATTACGTCAGTTAAGCAAGCTAAATAGTGAAATATATACGTTGTGTTCACCCCCTTTCTTTTAAAGCGATGAAGTAAAAGTTGTCAGGTAAACTATGCTAGAACATAGTCAAATTAGTAGAGCTTCAAAATTTTTATCGAGGCTGCATACCATTTAATATTTTATTTATTCTGATCAATAAGGGTAGGCCCATAGCCGAGAAAATCCTAAATCTTAACTGAGCCCCATTATAAAATATTTAGCTAACTTGGCTTCACATATTATTCTGGGCCGTTAAAGTGAACATGAAAGCCTAAACCACGCCCAAACAATCCAATATTCCTTTAAGAAAGACACAAAAACCTGCATAGATATCAAAGGTGTTTGAACTCCACAAAGTTCATTTTTGACGGTCCAAATACCAAGCCTTAGAAAACTAAATCAATAGCGTGACAATCGATCTGGTACAGATGGCGAACTTGTCAGCTCCGCCAAATGAGAGATCCTGAAACAATTCAAGGTATCAAGATTAAGTATGCTATTTTTTTTAAGCGAATTGCCTGTAAATAGTTAACGTGTGCTGTATAAAGCCAGACAAAAACTCCATCTACAAATAGCAAATAGTTATTATTTAGGGAAGTAATTTAACTGGCAACGTACCATTTACGATTCTAATAATCCTCCATAATCTCAGCAGTACTAAGAGTCCAGCAGCATTTACCAGTGTATCTGGGAGAAAATTGGTATATGCCTCCGTTGAAGAAAGCGGCACGGTAGTATGAATAGGAGATTCTGTTTGAGTATCAGAGTGTGGCAGCCGTGAATGCTGGCTGAGATTGTAGACGTCTATAGCAAAACTGATTACACATACAAAAGCGTCAAAAATTTCAATGCGGTGTCTTCTCTCGATAAATATTTCTCGGCCAAATAGCCAAAATTTGACGGGCAGCTCCGCTAGAAATAGGCTGACAATAATAACACTGATACATTCAAGCGCAAATTGTGCTTCCTCGAGATGAAACCTCAAGAGGCTAATCTGAAATCGTGTGGGGGAAGAAAACTGAATCAGTCACGGAAATGTGAGTGAAATTGGATGTGTTAAATACTATACTTGCGACAGTATATATATAAATATATAAACCGTTTAGTTGGCATATAGTTCGTATGGTTGAGTTCCTTTTTATAGTGACTGTCACGAGGATATTGAAAAAGAGATTAAGAAATGCATATCATACTTGATGAAGAATAACATAAATAAAAACCTTATAGCATAGTTATGGTGGTGTTGAAATTAGTTCCAAATAGTGCAAGAAGTAAATAAAATTTGTAGTCCCTATGTTGAGCAAATATTAAAGAATGGGTCACAAGTATTAAAAAAGTTCTGGAACCATGAAAGTGATATCAAATCACGGAAAATAGTCTGAGGCAAATAAGTATATATGTTTTTAAAAAATGATTGTTTTATCTTATATTGTCAGAGAAAATCCATCCTTGACAGAAACATGAAAAGCGAACAGATGGTAAAAATAAAATGCTCTGAGAGCAAAGGGCATGTTGATAGCAAAATCATGAAAACTTTAGTCAAAATAGGCATACGACTATTGTTCTTGGACAGCTAACTATTGATTCACATAATTGGTAAGACGAAAAAATACACAAAGATATGAATAGTAAGATGGTGTGGCCCGCTGTATGGTCGCAGTGTCCTTTCGACTTAGAGAAGTGGGTTGACCTCATTGTCGTAACTTGGAATTGTTGTCAGGGTAACATAGATGAACGCACCTTGTCCGAAGTCGTCTGCCATAGTAGTTTTCATGATTCCCAGCATCATACAGTGGACTTGGTACATTCTCAAACGATTCCCCAGCATCATAATCGGCATCATCAGTAGTTTTGCCATTCTCCACACTAAGCTACGAAGTCGTCAAAGAGACAAGTGAAGTCAATCCCTCGACAGATGTTATGCCGAAAACGATTACATTATCACTCCTCTTTCTGTCCTGACCTATCTATCCCCGCTACCCTATCACAACTTCTAAATTATTTACATTTCACTCGGCAAAATGTGTGCCTTTTTGTGGCAAATATAGTTTGACCTCATCACACTTGCTATTCACCCCGACTCCCTCTCATTCAATAGGCTGATCCGACTCGGGCCTCCAATCCAGATCGCTAACCGGAGGAAAATGCATCGCGAAGAGAAAATGAGGCCAGGATTTTCGGCAATCAAGCGAAGACGTTGTCAATAAGTGATGTCGAAAAAACCAGTACCACTTTGGAGGCCTGACAGTCAGGGAACTAGGCAGACGGATAAGCAAACCGCGACAGGAATTCGGCATTATGGCCAAAATGTACCAGAAATCCACTTGAGAGGCAGCATGCGACCAAATATAGGCGTCCATAGTTTGCTCAGGCTTCCCGGGTTTAATCAAGAAGACGACCCGAGAAGGCAATGCCTGATATCTGCAAACATGGCAATCAGAGTCTAGGCGCTCTTCTCGGTGATGCGGCAGTGTACGTTCTTCTAAGGCCTGAAGTAAAAAGTGCACTGAGACTGGAACCGAGTGAAATCGGTCAACCAAAAAGATAAGAAACGGATCTACGGGACTATGAGAGAGATCCGGATTGGAGGCCCGAGTCGGATCAACAGATCGAAAGAGAAGAGGTCGGAGGGAATATCAGGTGTGATGAGGCCACACGAGATTTTCCACAAAAGGACACACATAATTTAGAAATTGTGATAGGGCGGGAGTTGAATAAGAGCATAAAGAGTTGATAGATGGGCCAGGACAGAAAAAGGAATGATAGTGTAACCGTTTTCGGCAGAACGTTAGTCGAGGGATTGACTTCACTTGTCTCTGACGAGTTCGTAGCCTGGTGCAGAGAATGGCAGCACTTACTGATTATTTTAAGTACGATGCCTACGAAACGTTTGAGAATGTACCAAGTCCACTGTCTGATGCTAGGACTTATGATAACTACTATGGCAAGGACTTCGGACAAGGTGCGTTCTAGTAAGTCACCCTGATAACAATTTAAAGTTACGAAAACGAGGTCAACCCACTTCTAAAAAAGATACGGATTTTATATAAAATTTTATCGACATACTTCAAACAACAAATAAAAACCAAGAAAAATTCGCTAAAGCCAAAGTAAGTCTTTTGGCCAACATCTGTCCTGCCGAAGAAGAATATATCCAAATAGGTACTAAAAGTTTATTAAAAAGCAAGCGATATCAATTAGTTCAATATAGGTGGAAAAATATACTACTGCAAGCTCTTGATCTGGTATTAACGAGTTAAAATACCATAATGTAGGTTATTTGCAAGGCCAATCCTTGCCCAACACATGATAGTAGTGTCTAAGCAAGTCAAATGCATCTCCTCGTCAAGGACATGCAAAAAAACCAGAGTTATGCCTAGTGCTATCATTACTTAGCGTCCGTATTCAATAGGCAATTCAAAAAATTTAATCTATGAAATAATTATGCACTTTACATTGAATTGTCTCGATATTATAAAATC